CACCGAGGCTGCCTCTGCCTCGGGGGGGTGCCTCCCCGTCGCGGGCCCCTGGGGCGGGGACGGACACCTTCCCGAGGGCCGCACGAGTTCCCTTTGGTAGCCCCCCCCCCCCTGGACTCTCTCTCTCTCTCTCTCCCCCCTTCTGGGCGGAGGCCCCTGGACTCTCTTTTTTTTTTTTCTCTCTCTCTCTCTCTCTCTTTCTCTCTTCTCCCCTTCTGGGCGTCCATTCCTGCGGAGATCTCCAGAGGCCTCCGGGGGCGAGGTGCCTGGAGGCCTCTGGCCCCCCCACGCCACACAAGGAGTGCCCTCCTCCTCCGCCCGCCCCTCCCTGAGCCGAAGTGGTGGGCCCGGCGCAGATGGGAGCGCGGAGGGCGGGGTGCAGCAGAGCATGCAACAGCTGGTGCCTGGATGCGACAGCTCTCGCGCTGGACGCAATCTCTGCGAGTGGATGCAGCCGTGCAGCGTCCGCTATCATGAGGGCGCACGCTGAAGGGGCGAGGGCCTTGGAAGGCCATGCCGACGCGTTGCGAGCGGGGCGCGGCCAGCAAAAGAAGGGCAAGGATGCAAGGGTACTCTGGGTTTCTCAATAAGCGTTGGGGGGGGGGTACCCCCCCGACGGGGACCAACTTCGCCTCGTCGTCGCGCCGCGACGGGGGTCGGAGCGCCTTCGGCGCGCGGTGGCTGCCCACGACGGGGGTCGGCGGGGGTGACGCCCCTCCGACGCTTTGGAAGATCGCCTTGGAGTGGCCTTGGAAAGTCGCTCATCGTTGATATGCGGGCTGACTGTGTAACCATTTTTGTAGTAGATCGTTTCACGAGCGGTATGGCAAGGAAGCGCCCGCCGCGAAGCATATACTGTATGACTTCTCGGTGCGGGCGTCGCCCCTCGGGGGCGACGCACACGCAGTATTGGTATGTTAGGGTGACACCGACATGCACCGTACCATGTCTGGACTCCCTTCTGGCAAGGCTCCGACGCTGTACCCGTGCATAGTTGCTCGGCTCCGAGGGCATCAAAAATATACTCCTCGAGGGTTGTCCTGGAAAGCCGCTCACCCTCACTGCGCGGGCTGACTGCAGTTCCGCGCCCCCCGCGGCAGTTGTGCAGTCTTGCACGCAGCAGTGCGCAACCGATGAATGGCGCCTCACACCGCCGACCCATCGGGGCCAGGCCCCCCACTTACATTGAGAGCTCGCCACAAGAAACCCACCACAAGAAGCCCATCACTGAGACCCCAGGACGTCCATTGGTTCTTTGGGTGTGGGAACGTCGCGCCCTCCATTGCAAAACCATCGAAACCCAAGAAGCCCAGGGCACCCTGGAGGCAAGCAGGGTGCTCCTTAGCATAATTAGGCTCGCTCCCACTGTCCTCCAGCCTGGACCTTCCCCCATCGTAATTAGAGCGCCAACCACGCAGCACGCCGGCCATGGCCACAGGCCCACCGACGGGCCCAAGACTCGGCGGTGGACAAACCTCCCTTTAGTAGACCTCCCCTTAGTGAAAACGGCCTGGGACCGAAACCGACGGACCTGGACCCGCCAAAATGACGGCCGCGACGCCCTCTCGCGAACCGAGAACGGCCAATTCCTTCATCGACGTGTCAGGGAGGGAGGTGTGTCCACCCCCGAAAGACATCAGTTGGGGGGCGGAAAGATACGGATACGTGTTGTCACCGGACCTCTCTTGGGGTGCGTTCTGACCAGAATTTCGCGGCGAATCCAGCGGTGACAACGAGGATTCCCCAGGAGGACCAGGAAAGGCCGAAAACGAAGGGGGACAACACGTATCCGTATCTTTTTCTCCCCCGAGAAACACTGAACAAGCATAGATTATAAAGTGCCGATCGTATGCGCGGGTTGCTCGGATCTGCGCTGGACCCCTCCTTTCTCGCCTTCGTCCTGGCGAGAGGAGGAGGAGGAGGAGGAGGAGGAGGAGGAGGAGGAGGAGGAGGAGGAGGAGAAGAAGAAGGAGAAGAAGGACGAGGAGGAGGAGACCGGTTCAGAGGCAAGCGGGCCCTGGACCCCGTGGAGCCCAGGGCCTTCCCGCAGGACAGCATCCTCATCCTGCGCTGACGGCCCGGGGGGCCCGCGGAGGGCCCCGAGAGACCGCGAGCGGCGAAAATCCCCAGGAGGGAGGAGGAGGAGGGGGAGGAGGAGGAGGAGGAGGGGGGGGAGGAGGAGGAGGAGGAGGAGGAGGAGGACGAGGAGGAGAGGGAGGGGGGAGTAGGAGGAGGAGCGAGGAGAAGGAGGAGGAGGCGGAGGACAAGGAGGACGATGAGGAGTAGGAGGAGGAGGACGAGGAGGAGGAGGAGAGTGAGGAGGAGGAGGATGAGGAGGAGGAGGAGAAGGAGGAGGAGGAGGAGGAGGAGGGGGAGGAGTAGGAGGAGGAGGAGGAGGACGAGGAGGAGGGGGGGGGGGAGAAGGGGGAGGAGGAGGAGGAGGCGGAGGAGGAGGAGGAGGGGGAGGAGGAGGGGGAGGAGGAGAGAAGGAGCAGGAGGAGGAGGAGTAAGACCCGTCTTGTTCAGGTTACCCATCCTGCATGACGAAAAGATGGGTCCAGCATGTGCGGACCCTGGGCCCGAGATGGGCCGACTGCCCGGACCGGCATGGCACACGGCAGGCGTCCCGGCGACGGCGGCGGCTGGGGAAACCAAAAGATACCGATGTCGACAGTCATCGCGCTACCAGAGGGATGAGGGGCAATGATAGGGGGGTATAGGGATAGATGGAGAAGCATCGACCTGGAATCGGCGATACATCGCCGATAGATCGGCGACAGGCCTCCGATAGTGAATCCGCACCTTCCTGGGTAGGTTGGGGCTATCGGGCCTCCATCGGCGATCAATGGGCGATCGGGGGTCGATGCATCCCCCCCTATGCCTATCCCCCCTATCTCTGCCCCTGAAAGGAGCGCTGAATAAAAAACGAAGGGGCCTTTCTGGCCACGGCGAGCCTCGGCCAAGAACAGCTGCCTCGACATAGACATCTCTGAGGAAACGGCCCCAGAAGCAGGGGCCCTCCCGAACCGAAACCGATCCTGATTGTCTCCTCCTCCGCCTCCTCCTCCTCCTCCTCGTCCTCGTCCTCCTCCTCCCCCTTCTCCTCCTCCTCCTCCTCCTCCTCCTCCTCCTCCTCATCCTCGTCGTCCTCCTCCTCCTCCTCCTCCTCCTCGGGGGCTGCAAAGGGTGCATCTGGCTCAAGGTGGCCCCCGCTTGTCGCTCCATGTTGGAGCCCCCGGGGCCCTCTGCGCCTCGTGGGGGGTGCTCTGGAGGCCTCGTGCAGGGGGATAACAAACCTACCTCGCTTTTGACCACCCTCGCTTCCAAGAGATACCAAACGATGCCAAACTGCAGCCTGTACTGGTCAGGCCGCTTGACGAGGAGGCGCGTGGTATGGCTTGGTGCTGCCTGGAAGCGGAAGCGGGGCAGGTAATTAACGCTCTGATCGTGGGCCTCCATGGAAATCCTGCGGGAACCTTGGGCCAGGGGCACTTCCAGCAACTCCTGAAGGGTAAGGCATCGCTCGGACGTGTGCATTTTTCTCGGCTTCGCCAGGGCCAACACATCTGGACCACCTTTCGGGAGCGGCCAAGAGGGGGGTGTCCAAGAGGGGGGGGTGCAAATCATGGCCGGCGGCATGTGCGCGGCCCAGCGGGGGGGCCAGGGACGTAATGAAACAAGAAGAGGCGCCATGAGATCTGGGGAAATACCATTGACCCCGCCATGATATCCACCCCCCCCCTAGTCAGCACCCCCCTCTTTGCCGCCCCCGAATCTTGGAGAGTCTCTTGGAGCATCCGGAGAACACACAAATCACTTATGAGTCCAGACGAGGAAGCGAGGCACGGGGA